TGAGGAACTGGGGGGGGGGGGGGTAAAAAGTTGGTGCATGACTTCTTCAATAGTAGAATACTTTGGTATAACTAATTTATTTGGTATCAAACATAATAATATTCAAACTTGACAAAAATACAACAAAATTAAAGAGTAATATTATTGAATTGTGTCTTATTGCATGTTTTGCTGAAAATCTAACCAGTAATTTGTGCATTAAGTACCAATTAACATTTTATTAAGTAATTTAATTAAACTAGTTTTTTTAATTGCTGTTATCTAATATTTACACTGAAAAATGGTCTAGGATGTACCCTGAAAAAAATTTCAACACCCATAAATTGCTTGTAAATTTCATAAATGAATAAAGCATCTATAACAGCATGTAATGCATTGAATTAAATGTGAAATTTTGAAGCAGAAAGACTGAAAAAGTATTTGTTCAGATCACTAACCATACGAGCAATCACAATAGTGATGCTTGCCTCTGCAAACATCTAGTTACTTTAGATAAGAACTTTTTGCATGACATTAGAATCAACTTTTATGTGAAAGGGCATGGTGATAAACAGACATGGATTGAAAACGAAACGGCTGCGGCGTCTCTCTCGGCTCGGTTTCGTCTTGAGTGTGCCACACACATAATTAGTCACGGCTCAGCAGGCGTACGGTGAAGTCTGTCACCCAGCTTGAAGTGTATTCCTGAGCGAGGTTCTGCAAACCCACCGGCCCGTCAAAACTGCTCAAGATTGTCATCAAACTTCCACATGTTCTGCTGCTCTTCTTTCCCACAATTATTAAATGGGCGACGAGATGAGCTACGTCTTGTAATGGCATCGCTTTAGCTCTTCAGACGGCTAGTAAACCTAAATTTACTTCTGATATTGACTTTTACTAATGCACCTGCACATGTAGTCACTCATGAGTGATGTTTTCCTAAGGAAGCATCACTATAACTATTGACTATACAGAGAGATTTGAATAAACTCTGTCCTTCAATATTAAAATTTGGTGCATAACTTGTTCAACACTATATAACTCTGTTATATTTTGTCACACATAATATTAATCAAACTTAACAAAAATACAACAAATGCCAAATAGGAACATTTCATCAACAACACAAAGAGCCTTAATTTGTGTCTTATTGCATGTTTAGTTTGAACTGAATTTTGAACAATTAGAATGTTACAAATAAATTAACCACTTTTTTTTGTTATTATCTAATAGGATAAAAAAAGATGTTCGATTTATTTTGAAACAGTTTTCACTCAGAAACGGTTTGTAAATTTTACAAATAATTACAAAAGGAAATTTTGAATTAGAAGATTAAAATGAGAAAATTAGATATGGCAATTAAAACATGAATTCAACCTGAAATTTTGAGGTAGAAAGACTAAGAAGTATTTTCTTGTAAAATGTACTCTAATAATCTTTTTAAATTGTTTTATTTACAACTTTACAAAATTCACACATTAAAAAAAAAACATTTTAGTTACTGGCTTTTAAATAAATTTTACCTGAAAGAAAAGAAACTATAAAAATGTTATTTATTTATTTATTTCAACTAGTTGCCAAGGCAACATTTCTTGTTTTAACTTAGTCTAACTTGATGTACTACAATAACTAAAATTAAAACTAAATTAATAAAAGCTATATGGACATATTTACTAAAATTGACAAAAACAAACTTACTAAAACATTAACTAAAATGAAAAATATAAAAAAATAAAGATATAAATAAAATATAAATAAATATAAAATACAAACATAATATAAAGATTGAATATATATCTATATATATCTATTTTTTTTTATTTATTTTTTTTTTTATAAAATCATAATACTATCTCAATGATAACACACTACTGGTCATAGTGATCTGAACAAACCCCATAAGGCTTGTAGATGTGAGGTGTGCTAATATTTTTCTAATCGATTGTATTTTAGGATTTTCATGATAAGAGAATAAATAAATAAATAAATAAATAAAAATGACAGACTACATATTAGAAACCACTCAGAAACTTTTGCACACCTCTTTTTGTCTTTTCCTATAATTTTATATGCAACCTGTGAAATAGTTAGCAGTGGTTACCAAAAATGATCAGATGTTGAATATGTTATTTGTAAAATAATCTAAGAAATCTCTGCACCAGACTCCAGCCTTGTAGACACCAGCGCTAATCTGTTTTAAGCCCCTTTGGTCAGACTGGATTGCTAATTGGGTGGATTTATAGCTGGTTTAGAGACGAGGGCACCGCTAGAAGGTCGTTCAGCGTCTGGACTCACGTTTAAGTATAAAGACTCTATTATGAGTTCAGATCGGGGTCAGACACTCGGGTGAGACGAGAGCTAACCGCTTACCATCATCATTATCATCATCCTCTCACACTCACTATCTGAAGACTGACCTGAAGGAAGCACTCTGAATGGTAAGAACATCTATATTGCTGCAGTTTTGTGTAACACGGATTGCACTGCATGAGTTTAGCACATTATTCAAACCTGTGAAAGTGTGAATATGAGACATTTAAAATGTGCAGTGAATAGAAAAACATCTATTGTAATGCCATGTGGTTTTGTATGTATTTGTAAATACTACTAAATGTGCTATATAAATGAAGTGTATTTACCCTAAAGATTTAAGACAGAAAAAAAAAAGTTAAACATATTAAGATATTTCCCAGTAAAAATGTAATGTCTGAAAGTGAATAATATTCAGTGGATCATATGTTTTGACTTTAAGTTGTTTCCCCCCCCATTAAATCCATCCATTGTGCTGTTATTTATTTCTTTTAGTTTTTGTAATTATTATCCATTTATATAGTGGTTGTCATGATTGTAATAATGTCGCTCGCTGATGGCAAAGCAACAATAAATACTTGAATACTTGTCTATTTAATATGTTTTTTGTCAACATTTGTATCTCGAGTCATAAATATTTTGATTTGAATTATGTTCTTTCTGTTTCTGATGATCAAAAACGGTCTGTTTTATTGATTGCAATGTTGTTCAAATATTTTGGGGGAGAAACTGTGAATTATGCATTTACTGTTCACTGTTATGATTTATTATTTTCACACTGAAAGACAATAATTAAGACACCAAAGATAAAGGTTTTGCATTTGTTGTTAAACTTTATTTTAAACTTTATATGTCACATTTATCACTGGCTTCCCCTTAAATGCAGGGTTGATTTTAGAATTCTTCTGTTTGTTTATAAGGCATTGTCTGGTTGTGCACCAAGGTATATCTCTGAACTTCTTGTGCCATATTGTCCTGCTATATGCACTTAGATCTTCAAGTCACTTGCTCCTATAACTGTGCCACGGTGTCGGTACAAATCAAAGGGTGATCGGGCTTTTTCTGTGATTGGCCCCAAGCTTTAATGGTCTCCCCTATCATGTGAGATCTGCTGCTTCTCTGGACATTTTTAAGTCTAGACGCAAATCTTACTTGTACTCTTTAGCCTTTGAATGTGTGTAATTGTTGTTTTTATTAGTAGATTTGTTTGTACACTGTACAGCACTTTGGATCAATTTTTATTGTGTTTAAATGTGCTTTATAAATAAATGTTGTTGTGGTTGAATTACAACAAAAAAAAGAAGAAAAAAAAAATGCATACTTGACACCCAAGTTTAGATTTTCGTTTTAGAGATCGATGCAGTATTTGATTAAAAACATACATTATTATTATTATTATTATTATTATAAAAGTAGTACAGAAAAGTTTTTATTTGGTATGGATATTTGCTATAAAGGAATGTATAGCAATCACCATGCAAAAATATTATAGGCAATTAATTAATTTATTTATTTATTGTTAACCTAACTTTAGTTGCATTTAATATTCACAAGAAATTACAGAATAAGCTATAAAAAATATCTTCGTAAAAAACACCCTTTTGAAATGTTTATCATTGAAAATAAACGCAATCTTTATTATATTCTGTGAGCACAAAACACAAATAAAGCTGGCTAACGCAAATAAGAATGTTATTTAAATAGGAAATAAATAAATCGCGTCTGCGCGTCACGTCATTGGTCCGCGCGTACGCCCCGCCCCCCGGAAGCGCTTCTCCCGCCTGCGCCCTGGACACCGTTGCTAAGGAATCCCGAGTACGCGCGAGTGTGTCGGAGGCGCGCAGCTCGAGCGCAGCTCAGTGCTCAGACATGGCGGCGGACCTGAACCCGGAGTGGCTGTCTTGCCTGCCTTCCTCATGGAGTTACGGCGTGACCCGCGACGGACGCGTCTTCTTTATCAAGTAAATATCCGCGGGATGGAAAGTTAGGGCTCGGTTCGCCTCGAATGCCTCTCGTCGGTTGTTTTCTCACCTTCTCTTCTCCCCTTTTTTTCTCACCCAACAGTGAAGAAGCGAAGAGCACAACCTGGCTGCATCCAGTCACGGGAGAAGCCGTCATTACAGGGCACAGAAAAACTCCAGGTAAGAGGCTTTTTAACGGGGGGGAAAAATCCGCATGAGGAGAAACGCAATCAATGCAGCTGCAGAGCCGCAGTTGTGGCAGAACGCGACGCGCGCAATGTCATTGCGTTCGCGTTGCGTTGCATGCGTGCAGCACACCTGCGCTCACGTTTCTGAAAGGTTGCATGGTCGTTTTTGGCTTTTGATTGACAGCTGTCATTGCTGCTGCACTCGTCGGATCGTTTGACAGCTTGCAGGAGATGCTTTGCATTCCTCAAAACACTGCACAGTTGCGTTATGAAAGCCTTAGCAGTTTTTTGTCACTATTAAGAGACAAAACAAGCTGTATGATACATGTTGATCTGCAGTATAGGGATGCGAGCAGTGCTTGTGGGCATTGAACAGCACAGCAGATCACGGGCACGATGAGAGATGTGCAGCTAGTCACTCTAGAAGATGCTTTTTGCATGCAAAGCTCATTGTCCTCCTGTCTCCTTTTTCAGATTTACCCACCGGATGGGAAGAAGGATATACGTTCGAAGGAGCCCGCTGCTTTATCAAGTGAGTTGGAGGTTCGGCTCCTGGCGGAAGGAGGATATTTCGCTCTCGCCTGCTTGTTTGACCGCAGCAGTGGCGACAGTGATTTCAGATCGCCGCCCCCTCTCTCTCACACACACACACACACACACACACACACCATATCGTTTCCAGAAATGCTTCCGCTCGCACACTGAAGGCACACACGAGTCGTTAGAGCTCTTTCCCACCCCCGTTTACAAAAAAAGTAATTACTTTGAGGGTGACCGAGGGCTTGACAGGAACCATGTGATTCAAAACTCTGTTGGCTGAACAGGCTCAACTTGTTGGTTTCCACCGAGTGAATCATGTTAACCCATTGTTTGTACAGCTCTAGTGCAGTTTAAGACAAATCTGTTGCGCCCTTCATGTGGTTTTCATTAGTTTAGCTGGACTTGGTTTGCTTATTTTGGTGTGGAGAGGAGCTGATCGATATTTTTAGACTCTAAGGCTTTTTAAATTGATGAATGTGCCTTTTAGAGGCTATTTTAATCAGTGAATGTGTTAAAAATTAGCTATATTGTTTATTAGGATCTTATTTGGACATTTTGAGATTATTTGCATTGATGGTTTGCATATGATCAGATTAATACCTTCCGCTTGTGCCATAAGTGTGTGAAATAAGTGTTAATTTGATTTTAGGGATCTTCTGTGGCTATTTTGAAGTTATTTGTGTCAATAATTCGCATTTTATCAGATTAATACCTCAATTTGTGCCAATTCCAAAATCTTTCTGTGGTTTTTCAGTAAATAAGTGATAATTTTGGTTGATTATGGGGATTTTATTTACCCAGTTTGGGATTATTTACATAAATAATTAGTATATTATCAGATGAATAACTTTTACTTGTGGTTTTTGAGTAAATAGTGTGAAATAAGTGTTAATTTCAGCAGTTTTTTGTGTGCTTGTATTTGCGACCATATCATTTTAATATCCAAACATGCATTAATATGCATCCTTAGCATTGGTCATTCTGTATTGCTTGCCAGGTTTGATTTAAATGTTTATCATTACAAAAAATTGCTTGATTTTCTTTGTCAATTGTGCCTTATCATGACCAAAACAATATTATTAGAGTATTATCTTGGATTATCGGTAGCGGGATCATGCAAATCATTTCATTTTGTCATCATTTGTTTGATTTATTGTGCAAAAAAATGTAGTGTCATGAATGGGCAGCTTTGCAACCTCCATCTGAAAGCTTTGAATTGAATTTTAGAAATGTCTACCACAAAGTGTTGTTCCTCACTCAATGTGACATCTTTTGTGACTAAAGTCAGTCTGCAGTCAATAGACATAGGGCTGTTACAGATGCTGATATTTTGAACTCCCTATTTAGCAGTGATGATATTTTGACCATTATACTGAGAAAAATTAGGCTAATTCTGCTTTAAATTAGTCTGTTTAATTGGCTCCTATGTGTAAAATTTGTATGCATGGTGTATGCATGGTGTATGCTGCTTTGTAGTTTTGTTCCAAACCCATTCCAGAGCTGAACTCTGAGGCTGATTTAACACAGGGATTTGAGCTAAAACTCAGGAGATGCATCTCGTCACGTCAGTATTGACAACTCAACCCTTTCTGGACGTCTGAGGGCATGCTGTCTGCTTGGGCCATGCCAGCGAACGACGATCTAACTGCAATCTCAGCGCTGGACAGATGTAACGACTAGTCTTTTGCTCAAATGAGTCTCTTTATCATCGTCTCTGTGGATGGTTGTTTGCATACAGACTCCCTGGACTCCTTTACCGCTGCGCTGATGATACCTGGAGGCCCAGAGCCGTTTGAAATGAGCCCGTTTTCGCTTCTAATGTTCCTTTGGATCTTCATATTGATCTAAGACGTGCAATTCGAGAAACTCGGAAGGATGAGATCGTAGTGACCAATGTGGAGCCCGCTCATGTTACTGCAGCGGCAGATGGCGGCCGGCCAGAGATTAAGAGTGATATGGGCTCATTCATTATACTGGCACAAAGTCGCTTTGGGAGTCGTGAAGGAGCGACGCTCGGGAGCAGCAAGTGGCTTGTGGTATTTGATCCATTGGCTCAAGCCTGTCAGAATTCCTTAAAAAGCACTGCAGCGTGTTAGGAGGATTTTTCTGTGTCACCCCAGGAATAGCACGGCTAGCCAGAGGACGCTCAGTGCAAGCTTTGCTGTGGCCGCCATGCAGAGCATTCGCAACACATTCTAGTCCCAAAAGAGAACAACAGCGAGTGCCCACATTTTTCCAGTCTGCTTTTTTCCACAAGGTCTTCAAAAATCTTTAATAAAGTAGTTCTTTGGGAAAACTAACCTAGGCTGCATTGCCTGGGGTATTAGAATCAATATATTTTTTTATAAATTTAAATAGAAACAAAATGTAAAATTTTAATGTGTAATATAAATATATATCACTTTCATTGTATCTTCACACACATATATATTTATCATATTAAATAATATTCAGATAATTCAGATATTTTAAAATATGCGCATACATAAACAAATAGTTATATTCAGGGTTTAAAGAGACTAAATTATATCTTTTTTTTTTTTTTTTTTTTTTTTTTTTGTGGCCGATCACCTGATGCAATTTTCATTTTTGTGAAAACAAAAACTCTGATTGGTGGATCTCTTTTCTGGATTAATATCTTGTGCAATTCTGCACCTGAAATTAGATTAAAAAAAAACATTTTTTTTTTTTAAATCACATCGACTTGTGGCTTCTACAGAATTTTTTTGCATTATCGCTAAATATCAGTTTCTCTATGGTCGCAATGAATGGGATATTTACTTCCGGAGCTCTACCAACGAACCCTTTTTCTTTCTCCAGTGCTCTTTGAAAAGGAAGATGACGAATAATTGAGATGGTGAAGCAGATGACCTGTGGTCTACATCTGGAGCGGCGTGTGACGCAGAGGTTGCGCTGGCCGTCGCAGCGATTGAAGGGCCGCTGTTGTTGTGTGGCTAGCTGAAGACGGCTTCTCTTTTTTCTGCTTTTGCTTGGCAGCTGTTGCAGCGTCTTGGGAATGCAGCAAAATAAACAGCTCATGAAGACACTCATGTTGGTCATTAGTGTCCGCCTACTGCCTAACAGGCCGCAGATTGGGCAGCGTGACAAGAGGCGGAGGATGAGCTCCCTCCCCGTGTCTCGCTCATGCCTTGTGTTGCAAATTAAAGGGGGAATGCGGTGAAATAACACGCACTCCAAAGAGGGCAGAGGTTACTCTCAACGAGAGTGCATCTGACTGGATGGAATAACCTTTTATGTGATGTTATTTAAGTGTACTTGTTTTAGAGATGCAATCTGACTGTTTTTTTTCTGGGGCGTTTCTGACTGGAGTGGGAAATAAATGGAGCGATGTGTGGAGCGAGGGGGAAGTTGCAAAGGTCACTTATTCAACTGTGGCGTGCTCTTTCCGAATGTGCTGTTTTGTGTTTGTGTGTGCATCTGTTCGTGTTGTGTAGATGTTAGATGGGTGATAGCAACACTGGCTTAACCAGTGACCGTCTGTATGTTTGAACAATGGAAGACGAAATAGACTTCTGTTTAGTGTCCCTATTAGGGCTGCACGATTAATCGCATGCGATATTTAACGCGCATCTTGTCAGAAAGCCGGTTCTGTAATCAGCGGTAAATCTCCATCACCTGCGTTTAAATATCGCATGCGATTAATCGTGCAACCCTAGTCCCTATAGGGATTGGAATGACTTGACCTTTAACCTTTTCACACAGAAGTTAAGAATTCTGCATTCAGGCTATACATTTTTTACCAGTATGTGTGTTCCTTGGGAATCGAACCCACGACCTTTTGCGCTGCTAGCACAATGCTCTACCACTGAGCCAAAAGTAAAAATCCCATTCATTTTCTCCATAGAGGAATTGATTTTTAACAATAATTTACAAACTAAACACGGACCTTCTTGAAGCTATAAGGTTCATTAATAGTATATGCATTTGTTAACGCCATTTAACTCGCATTATTTAACATAATTTATATTTAATTGTGTTTAACAGTTGAATTTCTGGTGAAAAACTACATTACCCATGATTCTACAAAAGAGTCTCCACCAATCAGAGAATCAAAACAATATTGTGCCAAAAGAACCGCCCACTCCCATTAAACACTGCGAATGGCGTAATTGAGCCAGTCAAACTACTTAAATAAGTTATATCTATATCCATCTTTTGAAATTATTGTAAAAATATTGCTTGCTACTGTATTTAGTTATTTTTCCCAACATCTTTATATTTCTCCATTGTTTTTATTTTTTAGAATTTTATTTACAACGCTTAAGGGGATTGTAGTTCTCTCTTATTAAAGCCATTAATTTGTCTTTTTGTTAGATTTTTCCCCAAATAGTCAAATTCATATTCAAATATTAACATTTATTTACTTCAAATCAAAGTTTTGTAATTTTATTTAAAAACATTTTTAATTTTTTTATCCATATGGGAAAAAATGAACAGGAAAAATACTTCTGAAACCAACGCTGTTAAAAATTGGACAGGCACCTTGAACCTAATTATACAAGGCTTCTGTAAGATTTAGCTACTAGTTAAATAGTGATTTAGCAACCTGACTGTAACGGTTATAAACTGTAGGTTTTGGTGGATGTGATGGAAAAGTGAACAAAAGGAAGGCATGGACAGTATCCAATCAAAACATCACTCATTCCGCTGCAGGTGTTTCCACCTCGGCAGGGATGCTGTTGAATGAAATGCCTCTAATGGTCCTCACATGTTTAGCCATGTGTGTGTCACTCGCCGTCGCTGTGTGAGCGTTTCCTCGTTTCCAGAGCAGCAGTAACATGAGATGCTGTGGTTTTAGGACAGTTAAGTGGGTCGATGGATGGGTGGAGTGGGTCCACAGTGATGAAAAGCTTCCTAATGCTTCCTGTGACTGTCGAATCATGTAGGGCCCGCTTTCCTCTCTTGCTCTTGCTCTCGTTCGCTCGTTCTGAGAGCCATGGGGTGAGTAGAAATGGTGTGAAAGGGTAAATG